ATGTAATGCAGTCTCTAGAGGCTTTAAAATGTTTGCAATCTGTGATGTTTAACTTGCCACTGTTTATGCATTCAAAAACCATCAGACTATCAGTATTCTGCTGTTTGCATTATGCAACATTTCCATGACATCAGTTTGAAAGATCATGTTATTGTAGCCAACAATTTTGAGGTCAGCAAATCCAGTTGGAGCCTCGGACCCGGCAGCATCACACATCTGTGCGATTGTTTGGTAGTTTCCAGGCAACAGCGGGCCATTGTTCCCGCAGAGGTCCATTGAACCAGTGTAATGACATATTTAATAGATACGCTTTCCATCATAAGCAATTTAAAGTGCACAAATAAAAGACAGAGTCCCTCTGAAGCAACCTTGTGTCAAGTGCCAGAATTTTTAAAGAACTGAATGGGATCTCATTAATTCTCAGTTCATGGGTAACTCCCTCCTGTAATTGAACTTATAACCCTTGTTTTTGCAGGCCAAGACTTTGACCATTAATCCCAGTGCCTTAAGTAAGATCAGGAGTGTTAATAATATGTAATAATGTTAACAGTTGTGAAAGAGCAGGATATAAACAGCAATATTTTTCCATATAAGAATCTACTTGAGACAGAAGCTTTACTAAAAGACTACCACTGATCTTAGCAAGGAGGTATATTATACCTGGAGCTGTCCATTAGGATTCCCATTCATCTTAATTAATGACAGTAGCTCTCCTGAAAATCGACATGATAAATGATAAGAAATGATGTATGTGGAGAGTATATTATAAAAAAAGGACATTTTTATTGGCTCATTGTTAAAAGAAGTTTCAAGATATATATGAATTTGTTTATTCATCAGAACAGATTTGGTGAAATTTGGCATTACATCATTTGCTCACCAATGGATGGTCTGCAGTGAATGGGCGCCATCAGAATGAGAGTCCAAACAGCTGATAAAAACATCACAATAATCCACAAGCAATTCACACCACTCCAGTCTATCAATTAACATCTTGTGAAGCGTTTTTTTTATTTCAGTTTTTCATTCTCTGCATTATAATGTTGTGGTTCCTAACTTCTCTTGTAGTATTTAAAATTATTATGAAAATGAATGTTATCGGCCATAAAATGAAAATAGTTATTGCCTCATCATTAACATCAGTGCATTCCTATAATACATTGAATCAAAATATTATTACAGAGTTTCTGCGATTACAGATTCATCCTGTAAGTACAAATTTAATATGTAAGTAAAACGTCACTTATATACATTTATTTACTGGAATTATTCTGTTTCTAGATGCACTGCCAGGTATAGTAACACACCCTAATATAAGCTGACATAAGTGGAGGAAATCAACCAAAATGACTGCTGTTTAGCTTTCCCATAATGGTGTGAGATATTACATGAAGATTAAATTCTCTGTAAAGAAAGAACCCATTTCTAAAAGCCTGCTCTTATACCGGTGTAGCCTATCCAGACTCAGGAACCTGGCGGCCTTCTTTGTTTACAGTGAGGTTAACCACTAACATGTTGGCAGTGCTATACTCTTTAAATTTGCACTTTGCTCTGAAGGGAAGAAATCTAGTCACAAAGAAGACATTTGGGTCACTAATCTGCTTTGGGAAACACAGCCCATCTTGGATAAGAATGAATGTTTTACCTGCGCCAGCAATTCATAGATATTTTTTAATATTCACTATATGTGATGATGGACAAAGCCTTGACATTTGTCTGTGGAGCTGAGCATTTTGTTGATTTATTTTTATATTCCATAAGGCTGTGGCTTGTGTTGGCACGCTGTGCTAAGCACTAAGATACTAAATGCCAAGTAAAAATCATGTCAACTACAAAAAGATATCCGTCTTTGAAGCTATTAAACAGAAGTTGGCATGAAGAACAGTGAAGAGCAGTTTCCTGAACTCCCAGGAGTAGTTATAATGAAAAATATGTTAAATGTACCTTTCTGTGGGCAAACTACAATAATCCACAAGAGTGCCTGAAACCCCCTTATGTTATGTGTGGTAAAATCACAGTAACACACTGCCTGTGTGGCTTATTTGCTTTTATAAAATGGCAATGACAGCTATAGAATAAATTACACCAGTGTTCAGTAAATACTTATATTTATTACTAATACCTTGGCACAGTAATGTAGAATTAAGCTGATGTGCAGTCACAGGTGTACATTTATGGTCTATTTTACACTGGCTTCAAATGGTGCTTATCCTGTAAAACATGTTATAAAAATATTATGAACATGAAATGCTTTAGGGATAGTTCACATAAAAAAGAAAATTCCGTCATTATTTACTCACTCTCACGTCGTTCCAAAACTGTGGTTTTCTTTATTTACTCCTAAAAAAATAAAGGTTCCAAAAGGAGGGTTTCACAGTGATGCCGTAGAAGAACCATTTTAGGTTCCTCAAAGAAACTTTTAGTGAACAGTTCTTAAAACAAAATTTTTTTCTTAGTGTGAAGAGCATTTTAATAATCTAAAGAGTATAAAAAACATTATAAAGAACCTTTTGTGTAACTGAGGCCCTGTTTACACTAGTGTGTTTTCGTTTTTAAATGAAAACGATCCTCGTCTACACTTGTGTTTTCACTGCGTTTCAGAAACGATCTCCGTCCACACTACACAACCGAAAACGCATGTCACATGACCATTCATGCAGGTACAACAATGAGCATGATATTATTGTTTACACAGTCGTCAAGGATACGCAGAGCGAATGTTGGCTGCCACGCCATTGTTTTCAAAAGTCTCCGTTTTGGTCCGTTTACACTGAAACTCAACTCCGCAGTTTTCAAACTAAAACGGGGTCTGCAGCGTTTTCGAAAGTCTCCGTTTTCAAGGGTCGAAAACACCGGAGTAGTGTAAATGACAGGCGTAACCATAGCAAAAGTTATGCGTTTTAAAACGAAAACGCACTAGTGTAAACGAAGCCTGAAAGGTTCTATTGATGTTAAAGGATGGAACCTTAGATGGCAATAAAGAACAGTTATTTTTAAAAGTGTTCTGTAATCCGTAGAACTTAAAAGAAGATATTTTGAAGAATGTTTCAACAGTTCTCCATATTATGGAAGTCAGTGGAGTCTAAACCTTTGTTCCACAGCTTATTCTGGCCAAGACCTGACAATCTGACCAACACTGTATCTTTCAAAGAATAAATGCCACAGACCTGGGAAACTTTAGCAAGACCAACGATTAGTTAGTTAGAAGTGCTCATAATATCAACCCAGTAACTAGTGATGCACTGAGATGACTTTTGCACAGAAACTCAGAAACTGAAATTAACATTTTCATTTAGCCAAAATCCAAAGCTGAAAATAAAGGTATCAGTAATTAAATCTGTGTAATTAAACTCTTTATGCTGTTCTCAGGTGATAAACTAAACCATTCTTAGTCAAGTTCTTCAACATTGAGTCTCTTCTCGATATTTTAGCGCAACAGATTTTGCACATTGCTAGCATCATTTTTGGTCATGATGAAGTGCTGATATGTTTACTTGTATATTTTTTGCTCGTTTATTTTGTGCACATATTTTTGTCATTTATATGTGTGTGTGTGTTTTGCGGTTTCATTTTCTGTTGCCAAAATGTTGGTGTATCACTATTTTAAACATGGTTTTGCGATTAAACACCTGTGAACCAACTCCTGAAACATACATCTACCTTAAATTTATGGTCCAACGAGACTATTTACTCAAGATATACATTTCACAGTTTCTTGTATTTCCTGGGATTTGAACCCATGACTTTGCTATTAGCGCCATGCTCTACTGTTTGAGCTACAGTAATGTGAAAAGTTGCAGAGAGCAATCTGATTGGATTGGATTTTAACAAGTGTTTTCCAGTGTCGTGTGCAATATCAAACAGTCAGAGAACAATCTGTGGGTGTCCAAGAGCGTGAGGCGGAGACCACCCTTGTCATTGGTAGATGGTGGCCACACATCAAATGTTTTGAGCAACATGGAGTTAAATGGTCAAAGTCTGTTCATAATTTTCTGAGAAGGTTATGGTGTTTATGAAAAGTTTTCTGAGGTCTTTCCACAGTCTCATAAATCCATTAGATCCTGTTTGGGTTTGTTTCTTGGCCATTCACAGAAAAATGAGTAATTCTGTTTTCTCTCTGAATGTAGTTAACTCTGTAGAGTTCAGTTTGTTCTTAGGGCTTCCTGAGGTTCCTCCACTGAATAGCATGTCTTAGCGGTAAAGCAGGGCTGATTCAGCCGGTGCCTGTGGTTTGAGTAATTTTCAGTCAATCTGCTCTGTAAAAAAAAAAAAAAAAAACTCCCCTGTAATTCATTGGATATAAATAAACATGTCGCATTCATCTGGATTACAGTAGACACATATTTTAAAGCTTGGCCCAACAAGACTATGCCTGCATCTCTCAATGTAGGTCATGTTCCTGATCTGGAGAAATCTGAACTAAAAAAAAAAAGTGGTTTACGTCTATCGACAGCTGCATTTTGTGGTTTTGAAGTTTGTAACAACATCCAAATTTGCTCAACAAGTCATGTCTCTGTATTTTATTGATTAATTTAAATCATGTGTTATTGGAAAACCAAGCAAGCATGTCACTTTCCTTGTATGATGTGGGTTACATTTTGCATTTTCATATTTAGCGGACACTTTTATACAGAACACCTTATACAGTGTTGTCTGTATAATTCATTACTTAGCGTTGGTAGTGCTGTGATCTACAACAGGGTTTCGCAAATGAGTTGATGAAAAGCTAATCATTAAACTGAATATAAAATTAAAATAAATACATTTGGCTGCACCAATAATTGAAATAAAACTATAATCGTGATGTAGCTTAGTGTGATTATCAAATCAAAGGCTGTGATTTCATTAAATAACCCGCGTCCTGCCTAAATTGCAGAAATTTTTCCACCCAAGGCCATGTGGAAGAATGTGTTGATATGAATTGCTGATTTTGTTAATACGCCAGCATAAGTGATTCCTGATGTTACGTTTTTTCTTAAATGTCCCATTCTTCTCCGCAGCTGCCACGGAGGGGCGAGTCAACGGAGGTGAGGACTTCTTTCAAAAGGTAAGGAAAACCACATTGCTTTGGCAGTCAAAAATAGGTTAGCATCATGTTGCATGTGTAATTATTTCTGCAATTAGTGCCGCACGATACAGCAGTGCAATAGCTTTGCGGTTCTCAAGCCTCAAAATACTACCATTGCGGTAATAGAATAAATATGGGACTTCCATAACTAGCGTTGTATGCTCAGTGTGTAGCTCAAAATGATGGATTCAGTAACATAAAGAGGCTCACTCCATTTTCTCATTTGTGTAATTGCAAATATTGTGCCTGTTACAGTTTAGCATACCAATCTCAAGAGGAAATGACAGCACTTTCTATGTCAAATAGAAAAGCATATTTAGAAAGCTGTCAGTTATAAAAACAAGCGTCTTAATTCAGATTTTTTTATGAAAATGGCTTGTGATGAACAATGTTTTATAATATATAATATATGAGACACATGTGTTGTATTGTGAATAGTCACTCTGCTCTGCGTTGTGGCGAACAAAATCCTTTAAAGGGATAGTTCATCCAAAAATGAGAATTCTGTCATTCCAAACTGTATGACTTTCTCTCTGTTCTTCAGAACACAAAAGGAGATCATTTAATGAATGTTATATTTTCATATGCTTAAAGGAATACTTCACCCAAAAAATGAAAATTTAGACTCAGACTATTCAAGATTTTAATGTGTTTGTTTTTTTTTTTTCCAAACTGTATGACTTTCTCTCTGTTCTTCAGAACACAAAAGGAGATCATTTAATGAATGTTATATTTTCATATGCTTAAAGGAATACTTAACCCAAAAAATGAAAATTTAGACTCAGACTATTCAAGATTTTAATGTGTTTGTTTTTTTTTCCCCATCGGAACAGATTTGTAGAAATTTAGCATTACATAACTTGCTCACCAATGGATCCTCTGCAGTGAATGGGTGCCGTCAGAATGAGAGTCCATAATAATGCTTCCTCCAGTGAAAAATTCCATCCCCTGTTGTCCTCTCACATCAAAATCCACCAACATATTTGTTTAGAACTGTTTTGCAATGTTAAACAGCAATGTAAATAGTGCTTGATCTGTGCATATTTCTCTCCTAAATCAGACAAGACAACTTTTTGACTGGAGAAAGCATACTCAGACTAGATGACTCATATTATAGCTGGTTTTTAACCAATAAGATGGTTAAAAATGTCATAATAATGGATTGTTTATTACAAGCATGCAGCTTGTGGATTACTTGCATTACTTGTGGATTATTGTGATGTTTTTATCTGCCGTTTAGACTCTTATTCTGACGGCACCCATTCACTGCAGAGGAACCATTGGTGAGCAAGTTATGTAAAGCAAAATTTCTCAAATCTGTTCTGTTGAAGAAACAAACCCATATAAATCTTGGATGGCCAAACATTATCAGAAATTAGTAAAATATTAGAATGATTTCTGATGGCTCTTGTGACACTGAAGTAGTGATGGCTGCTGAAAATTCAGTTTTGCCATCCAAGGAATAAATTCCATTTTAAAATATATTAAAATAGAAAACGGTTACTTTAAATTCTAATCATATGTCACGTTTACTGTTTTTACTGTATTTTTGGTCAAATAAATGCAGCCTTGGTGAGCATAGGAGACTTATTTCAAAAACATTTAAATTTTTAGTGCCCCTAAACTTTTGAACGGTAGTGTACCTTGATGCTTAATTATTACCATATTAAATATAAAAATTTTATTATAAAAAAAAAAAAAATTAATCCAAAATAACATGAGTGAGATATGTGATATTTTACTTAATTTATTTGGCAGTGCTAAACTCCCCCTGTTAAAAATCTGCATTGTAAAATGGCAAAATAACTACATTCAAATTGATCTCTGCAAAAGTGTACAGGAAGTCCATGCAAACGTGTGAAGTGTGTGATAAATCGCATTTGCTTCGAGAGCCTAGTCAGTGACTCATGACAAAACACCTCTACCTGAAGGATACTCAAAACAGGTCTCCTGTGCGTTTATGGCCTCGCCAAAACAAGCACACTTGGCGTATTTGGACTCAGTGGGGTAGAACAGTATTTGGGGCAAACACTTGCCAGACTGATTGACAGGCTGTGAATAAATACAGACTGGAGAAGCCAGACAGCTCAGGGCAGGAATTCAGCACCTGAATCAGAGCATGCTGGCCTTCAAAATAAACACACTCGCAGGCAAGTCGATATTGGTATGAAATACAGTCCATGTCAATGTTCCATTTGTTTTAACCTGTAAGGTGTGGGAAAATAATCAGACGCAGTTAAGAGAGCTTGGAAAGTGCCTGTTCTGGAAGATACGGCTGGCTGCACCGTAAGCCTCGGGCTGCCACAAATTTGGGTAGTCGCAGCTGATGCAAAGCTTCAGGAACGCCAGTTCCTGCTTTTCAAATAAACACAACCTATCATATCACATACAGTCTGTTAACAATTGCCATTTCTCAAACAACACCCTAAATGTGGATTTGCAGTTTCATGGACTTTAATCGCGTGCGTCCATGAAGTCCACGCCTCCATAGACTAAAAAAAAAAAAGGTATAGGATTTAATTTGATACTGTTTTCACTCAGAAATTGCTAGTACATTTCACAAACAATTACAAAGGAATGCCATGTAACATATGACATTAAAGGAATAGTTCACCCAGAAAAAAATAATGCTGAAAATGTACTAACCTTCAGGCCATCCAAGATGTAGATGAGTTTGTTTCTTCATCAGAACAAATTTTGAGAAATTACATAATTTGCTCACCAATGGATCCTCTGCAGTGAATAGGTGCCGTCAGAATGAGAGTCCAAACAGCTGATAAAAACACCACAATAATCCACACGCAATCCACAAGTAATCGATACGACTTATTTTTTTAGAACTACTGTTTTCGCTTGTAAACAGTGCTTGATCTGTGCATATTTCTCTCCTGATTCAAACAGGACTTTTTTTTTTTTTTCACTGGAGAAAGCAATATTATGAATAGAGTGCTTATATTTTAGCCGAAAGCAATGATTTGAAGTTAAAAATGTCTTGATGGATTTGTTTACTACAAACGCACAGCTTTTCGCTTCGTGAGTCAAGTGGAATACTTGTGGATTATTGTGATGTTTTTATCAGCTGTTTGGACTCTCATTCTGACGGCACCCATTCACTGCAGAGGATCCATTGTTGAGCAAGTGATGTAATGCTAAATTTCAACAAACTCATCTAAATCTTGGATGGCCTGAGGGTGAGTACATTTTCAGCAAATAAAAATTTTTTGGTGAACTATTGCTTTAAATGTGAAATATTGTAAAACTCTAATAATCTTCATTTTATATACAGCCTACAATGTAGGCCATCCAATTTTTCATTTTAGCTTTCAGAAGGTTCATGGGTGACTCTTTTGCAGCTACTTGTACTCTAGACGATTACTCGACAGCTTTACATTAGACTTTGGGACGGGCCCTATATTTCATCTGAATTAGGGAACGTTAAAAATTAAGGATATGATAGTTCTTTTGTGAAATAACACAGTGTATCTCCTAAGGAACCTTATAAATGTGATCAAAAGATAAGAGTGGTATTTTTCTGCTCACGTCAAATACTTTATCTAAACACACTATGTAAAAATGTGAAATTTAGCCTGCACCCAGAGACACAAATGAATTCATGGAAAATGACCTCAGAAATTCTCACAAATGTTAAAAAACAACAACAATCCTTTTAAAAGGAGTGTTTCTTAAAAATAGTATAAAAAAGGACTGTAGGAGTCTTTTAACTGGGAGGAAAATATTTCTGCCAACTCCGCGTCCCACGCCCCAAGAGCATGTCTTTGGTAGAGTGATACCAGCCAGCCCGCTAAACTTTTGTGTGTTTTCAATAACAACATTGCGTTCCTGTCCATCATGGCGGCTGCGTTTTCGTGTGTGAGCCATCAGGTATTCCGTGATCCTGCACAATGATGGGATTCAGCCCTTTTTGCTTAGACGTTTCCCTCATGCTGAGAGCTCCGATCAGGTAACGACGAAACCTCAGGAAACCCCGCCTCATCTCTCTGAAAGAATGCAGCAATATTAAGAGTTTTTTTTTTTTTAACAGAATATTGGCTTAGCTCCTCATACTGCTATGTAAATAGTCGTTTTGTAGACTGTTTTCTAATTGCCAACAAAATAATGCATTTTGCATTTATTGCGTTGTTTTTTGTTTGAGTACTGAATGAAAGAGCGTTTCATTGATTGAATTTATTAGAGGTGTTTGCCAATGCAAGCATCAATCACTCTTAGGCCTATTGCTCATACTTTGGGATAGTGGGGCGGGGGGGTTGAGGGTGAATAACAAGCTATAATATTACCTTAAATTTAGTTTTGGTGGTGTAGGTAGGTTGATCCTGAGATTTTGAATAATATATTTGACTTAATTAAAAATGTATTAATTTAAATGTTACAACATAGAACACACACATTCATATTTGTATTTATACACATTTTTTTTTCAGTGTAACTTGTCCTGCACAGTTATAAATGGAAAAGAGTAATAAATTAAATTGAGCTTTAAATTGGGCAAATTGAGTTAAGGATAGGAGTGCCTTTACTTACTTTACTTAATGTATTTATACACATTTTTTTTTCAGTGTAACTTGTCCTGCACAGTTATAAATGGAAAAGATTTATATTTATATTTCTATTTAATTTGCCTATAACTTTTAACAGCTTTTGAAAACACTAGGGCTGCACAATAAAAAATAAAAAAAAAGAATTTTCAGGTTTCAAATAATATTTTTATAATAATGTAATATTTTTATTTAGTATGTTTTATATTTTATTTAATAATAATAATAAATTATTATTATTATTAATAATAATAATAATAAATAAAAATATAAAAAAATACATATTGATATATAAATCCCAAAATCCCAAATTGTGCAGCCCTACAAACAAGCACATTATCACATTTTAATTCACTATCACAATTTTTATCAGAAAAATTGCAATTAATTGTTTCCCCCATACATCATGCAGGCCTAGAAAATACT